GTGTTCATCTTAATTAAACCCGTCCAAAAAACAACTTCCCTAAGAGTAAACTTAGTAATAATATTAATAAATTTTGGATAAGAAAAAAAAAAAATCTTGATTATATTAACAGTAATTTATTATAATTCCCTTATATTTAGTGTGGACTGATATTTACATTTTGATATTTTTGACCAGGATCAGTATACATTTAAATTTCTGTTAAAGTTTTCAAGATGCCTAAAACTAATGAAGAGAAATGTTAAGAATATCGTTTTCGTAGGAAGAATAATAAGGAAAATAAGGAAAACAAAACGCAAACTAATGCGGAACGTTGTAGGGTGTATAGGCTGTGAAGGAAAATTATTGCACTAGGATATAAATTGTCTGCGAAGGAAATTTTATGTATTCCGTCAACTTCTAATTTACTTTGCGAAACATCGGCTCAGCTTGTGATTACCGGTACAAATTTAAATAATTTAAATGTCTCAACAAAAACTAATATTATCACTAATTATTTATTTTAATTGTTTGGTCTTTATTTTTTGAAGATTTACATTTATTTTACATTTTTTTTACATTTATTCAAAACTAAAAATAACGAGCATGGACTGACGAGGATTTTCTTCAGAATTCGTGTTGCACTCCATGTAATAACGATTTATGCACCATTTGTAAAGATTATAGATTCTTAGCGTATATTCGAAATATGCGGCTCAATCATTTTGAGAATATTGAGAATATCGAAATGTTGTTATCGCACATCCCTACTATTTAAACCGTTGCTAGGCACGCCCTAAAGGGTCCATCAACAAAGACACTCGTCCTATTCTTTCACTGGACGCCTACGACGACACGTTTTAGACACCAGCGAAGAATTTACAAAGAAACCGACGAACAAAGCGAAATTTTTTATTTTTATTAAACCCTGCTTCTTTCTCACGTATAAATAAATAAATTAAATTATACTTATTAATTATATATATATATAAACTTTTATCAATTGTATTAAATATCTTTATATATATATTTTATTTTATCATGTTATCGCGTCTTATTGAGAAATTTAGAGTAAGTATTAAATTAGTACGCAGGAGAGTGGGAGTTTTTTTATATGTTATTTTTTTTTTATGTTATTTTTTTAAAGTTATTTTTGAGGTTATACTTGTTTTGGTACGCTTAAAAAGTATAACTTCTTACGTGCGTACATAAGTACACACACCAGTTTTTTTATTATAATTTTGGAACTAAGTAGCATATTATAATGATATTGGTCTTATATGAATTGGTTGAGATTAAGGAATGTATTTTTGGAAAAAATTAATATTTCATTGTTTATAATTTTGTACAGTATGATAAATTTTGAAACACTCCCCAATATGCATTGCAGGCTAATTAGTGTATGTTTTACAATAATAATTTGTTTGATGCCTGCCACCAGGTGTTTTCCTGTTAGAACACACAATACAGTCTCGTTTTCTTTGTTTCACATTGGGAATATGTATTGGGTTGGGGAATAAAATCGTACTGTTATTTCCGAAGGCTTTTATATAAACAAAAAACAATAATTATATAAATAAGTTAATCAATTATATATTCGCCGCTGCTGTTTACAACCTCTTTCCATCTCTCGATCAATTTGTTGATGCAGTTCCGCCAAAAATCGCCTGGTCTGGTGTCAAAGAAGTTGTTGAGCCAGTTTTTAAGGACCTCTTTGTTATCAAAGGTAACGCCCTTCATATGGTTTGACAGGCATCGGAAAAGATGGTAATCGGTCGAAGCAAGGTCCGGAGAATACGGTGGATGCTGAAGTACCTCCCATTCGAGCTCTTGGAGTGCGGCTTTGACGACTTGTGTAACATGGGGCCTAGCGTTGTCGTGAAGGAGTATGGTTTGAAAATGTCGATCAAATCTTTTCAGTCGAATAGCCTAATTCACGCGGTGTAGCTGGGCAATGTAGAGCTCCTTGTTGACCGTGGCATTATTTTCGAGCATTTCCCAGTGCACTATGCCCTCCCAGTTCCACTAAATACATATCATGATCTTCTTTGGATGAAGGTCGGACTTGACTCTCGGCTTTGGCGTATCTCCTGGAGCCACCCACTCCTTTCTTTGCTTCATATTGATATATAGGCACCATTTCTCATCTCCCGTGACGATTCGGTACAAAAAGCGCTGTTTATGACCATGTGTTGCTCGATGGCGGGCAAGATGCTGAGAAGAAATTTGAAGGCGACTTTCTTTGTTGTTTTCGTTGAGCTCGTGAGGCATCCAGGTTTCTAATTTTTTGGTAAATCCAATTGAATGAAGGTGATTAGGAATCGTTTTATGATCGCAGTTCATTTTTTCCCCCACTTCACGACTGGTTTGGCGACCGTTCTCCTTCAAAAGTGATTTGAGACGTTCTTCATCGAATTCAGAAGGCCTTCCGCTGCGGGGCATGTCATCGACGTTAAAGTCGCCATTTTTGAATTTTGCAAACCATTTTCGTGCTGTAGACTCGCTTATGACACCTTCTCCATACCCGTCGCAAATGTCCCGAGCTGCTTCGGCAACTTTTTGACCTCGATGAAAAGCAAAGAAGAGCAGGTGTCGAAAATGTTTTTTTTGCCTTCTGAGTATTCCATTTCTAAGCCTAAAAACTAATAAAAAATTAAAAACTTTAAAAATACAATTACAATACTTTTGTAGAGCACAAAGTGTTTTATCGAATGAATACTTCTCCGTTGCCAAACCGAAAACAAATTGTTGTAAAAAAAAAGAAATTATAAAAACAGTACAAACTTATTCTCCAACCCAATAATTTGTTGTCTAGTCTATTGTCCGCAGAAGATGTGGATGGACGCGTTCTCGGTACACAAAAATCGCCCTTCAATTGGTCCATTAGTGTTTTGACAAACTTGTGGTGTGTCATTGGCGTTTCATTTTTTGTTTGTTTTGAGATACGATATATTATGTATGAGATTATCACACACATTTCTAGCCCCCAAAAAAATAACTTTCTTCACCATTTCAACGATTTACGGAGGAAACAATATGTCGAAACCTATTGATCAGCAAGATCCACATCACCCATATTTGCCGTATATCCTAACATCATTTCAGGTCTATTCACTGTTACAACATCTCCACTGCGTAATGTTTGATGGGTAGATTGTTGTTGAGTGTTATAATAATTCGTGAGTATCGTAATAATTCTTTTATCTTTCCATGCAAGAAGCGTAGTATTATTTTTCTTGTATGCAACTGTTTTATTTGTTGAAAATTTTGGTTTCTTTATTTGTGTCAGTATGCCTTTTCGATTAATTTTTATAGTGCCAGTAAGATGACAATTCATCTTTCGCAATTCTTCTGCTAAAAGGATGCTGGTATAGTATCTGTTGGTGAGCATATGGTATCCTTTTGTACCAGGAACTCTGTCTAATAATTTCTTATACAAATGTAGCGGAATCTTTGTACTTACTGGAAGATCCGGCCGGGATATATTATTGGAAGTAAAGTGCTGCCATAGTATGGAAGTATTGTAAATAAATATCCTGTTCTTGAGTCCGCCAGCGCATATATGCGTATAACCCACTTTGTTGGCTTGTTCGGATTATAGGTGATGAATGATATTCTGCCTTTAAATTTTACAATCGATTCATCCACAGCGACTGCTTGATACGGTATGAAATATTGTCTAAATTTGTCATCTATATATTCTAAATAGTTGCTGACTTTTTGAATACGAGTTCTTACTGTTGCATTTCTTTGCGTGGGTTTCTTCAAATGAAACATCCAAAATATCTCCATAAATCTGCCCCTAGTTAATGTTTCCGGAAAAAAAGGGATTTTACTATTGGAAGCAGTAGACCAGTATTCTTGTATGTTTGGGAATTGAATCAATCCCATATTTAGGATAACGGCGATGAATGCAAAAAATTCTTCTTTAGTAATATCGTACCACTTGTGCCAAGTTGACTTTCTTGAAAGTTGTTTCTTTCTAATTTCTTCGTTGGCATAATTGTTTGTTTCTTTTATTATGCTGTCTGCTAATTCTTCAGTAAAATATAATGTAAAATAGTCTATGGGTTCTTTTACGTTACTCAGTAATTGTGGTCCGGCTATTTCGTCATGTAAATCAAAATTTATCGTAGCTGGAGGAATGCCTGATTCAGTAACATCTTCCCACTCTTCACTTGACGATACGTTGTCATGTTGCGATGTTTTTTCTTTCGTATCACAATCGCTATCTATGCGAACTCTTCGTCGCCTTTTTGGTTGGACGATATCACTATCATTGCTGTCATTATCTTCTACAGTTAGTCTTTCTAACATGTCTGTATAGAGATCTATCTGGAGCTCATCTTCACTACTACTTATGTTATGAGACTCATTCGTAGTTGAACGCTTTGTCATTGTTCTCATAAAATATATTCTAATAAAAATATGAATAAATACATGGGTTAAAAATTTCTAATTGTTATTACTAACTCACCTGATGATATTTGTTCGCGCGCAATGTATGTTTCTGTGTAGTAATACTAAAAGCAGTTCTTTAGTCAGTAATGTATTTTATTATCTTGGCGATTAGGATACAATTATTTGAATACTTGATGTGGACTGTATGAATGCTTATGGAATATTACGGTTAACATTTTATTTTTTAACAGGTATATTATACATGAAATTGTTAAAGATTAGAATATATACGGTTGTTATTTGTTAATATATTGAAGATTTATCTATTTCCATGTACCTGTTAGAAAATAAAATGTTAACTCTTATTCAAGTAATCAATTTTCCTGTATTATTTGCGCAAGATGTTAAAAAATTTAATATTGCTATTTTTTTGTAATAAATAACTTTCTCTTTCATGTATATATTTAAAAATTAAGAAATATGAAAAAAAAAATTTGAAAACAGATAGAAAAAAAATATTAAAAAAAAATTTTCCACATGAAGGATCGAACACTAACTAGCAGCATAAGAAGCGATAACGATACTACTTACGCTAGCGCGATACTTGATAAACAGTCGCATTTAAGATAATATAGACATGTATACAAAAAATCAAAACTTTAAAAGCTTTTTTCTCAAAATGGGCTTCGTGTTAGGATGAAATACTTTACCACAATAACACCCTACTAGTATACTACTAATATACCAAAGCTCGTTAAAAACCGTGAGGGCACAACCGTAAGGTCTCCTTGTTAGTAATTTTACGATATTTTGATTTGATATCTTGTATTATTTTAAGAAAAAACATCAGGGGAAACATGCATGTCTCAAAAAGTTGAGCTAAAATAACTCAATTCCCCGAAATCACTAATAAACTTGAATGTTCCATGAGAGGGGACAGCGGAGTGCAAAGGGTTAATTATTTAGCAGATTTTTTCTATCATACAAAGATTTAAAACCATGTAAACCCATGGTACATCGTAGTATACCTCAGTGTACGCCACATAGGACCTTTTTCCAACATAAAACAAGTTTCGATAGAAATTTGATATAGGCTTTTCTTTCAGAGACTTATTCGATTATTTTTTTACCGCTTTATTAAAAGTGAAAAATGCTTATCACATATAAAGACGTGTGAAAGAAATCTCTTTCAAAGAAATGCACATCGATTCGGTAAATTGGAAAGATTATTGATGTCTAAAATATAAAAGTTTAGGAATCACGTTTAATACGAAAAATTATAAAAATAATTATTTACACATAATGGTTATATCGTAAGCAGAATTTTCCAACATGGAGTCCACTGATTATTTTAATAAACTAATAATGAGAAAGTTGAAAAAATAAATTAAAACAATTAACAAAACACGTGATTTAGCCAATAGGAAATATAATATTTTACTGGCTCTTCGGGGAAAAGCCTTGCTACATAAAAATCTTGGTTGATAATTCAAATATGAAAAGTGCGTCTCACTTTTCGCTCATATGTGGAAGTATTAGGAGTCCTTACCAGGTGTAGAAGTATGAAACCAGAATTTTTTGTAAAAATTACACGTGTGTTGTTTGAAAATAATAAAAAATATTTTATTCAAAATAATTTTCATTGCTATTTATACACTTTTTCCACCTCTCTAGCAGTTTATGAATGCCACGCAAAAAAAACGCTCTTTTTTCTATCTCACGCTCTTCGTTTCTCATGTCAAAATCACCACTTTTGAATTTTTTAATCCACTGAAAACACTGTATCTTAACAAGAGCAAGTTCACTGTAAGCTTCAACAAGCATTCGATGCGATTTCGCAGCAGTTTTCTTCAAATGATAACGGAAAACCAATGCTGTCCGCAAATCGAAGTTCGTTAGCACAAAATTCGATATGTGTTTAAGATTATAGAAAAATATACTAGTGCATGGAATTTAGATTGTTGTGTGTTAAAAATCTTTGTAAACTGTTGAAAGGAGATGATTTTTTGGTTTGAAAAACTGTATTTTTATTTCAGTCTCTTTTTAACATACATAGGATAAGTAAGAACATCTTACAAAAAACTTTAAAATATAAAATATATAATAAAAGTGTCTTAAGGGGGTATTCTGGTCTAGAAATAAGAAAAAATCGATTTTTTTTTTCATATTTATTTAAGAATATGTCTACGAGAGGATTTTTCAAAATTCAAATTATTTTTGGAGATATAGGTATTTTGTTGAGTTGGCATACTAACCGGTTGGGCTGCAACTCATCGAACAAAAGACATAATGGATTCTCCGTCTACCTGAATCCATATTTCTCAGTAAAGCCTTTTGTTCCGTTATATATATGTAACGTTTATATCTATCTATCAGGTTGGATAGTATGGAAATAACTCGAATAACGTGTTGCTCTGTAAAACAAAGATTTATATTTTTAACTAAAACTATTAATTACAATTATTAACAATTAAATTATACCTGTAAAACAAAGAAACGACAATTTAAGACGGTTACTTCTAATGCTCTTT